TATAAATCTTCTTCTATAACTATCGACTACTTCCATGTCTATACTGATGGACCAAAAACAAATAGAGGAAGTTGGCGGCATCTTCCTTTAGACTTAAAGCAGACTCAAGAAGAAATATCGTCGATAAAAACTATATGAAAATTAACATTGATAGTTATGCGGGTCGTCTCTAAACGAAATGAAGATACATTCATTAATCACTCTTATTTGTGTAAAGGGACACATAGGCGAAAGCTGGAAACATGATGGCTGCATTAGTCTCAGAATAGTTCTCGGATTTTAAAAAATTATATCTTTGATTAGGACGGCTCAAAACCTCCTATCTCTTAGTTCTCAGCAGATCGCGGTTATCCACTTTGACATCAGTTAGTTCTGTCACTTCTATACAATCCGATTAGTTGACTGTTTTCATAAGCATCAAACATTGGCCAAATAGTCTTGGAGAACTTGCAATTTGCACTAATGTTTCAGGATTTTCTAATACTAGTGACTTATGGAAGACTTTCTATATGAACAAGGAATAAGTCGTTGAATTTTAGCTATTCTATTTATTGCTAAACTTTCTAATTGAGTTGTGACCAAGTATCGTACCCAATAAAGACTTCTGCGTATCAAGTTTGATACAACTTTCAATCCAACCAAATGTTCGAAGATTAATTGGTGTTGTCACTGTTTATTAAAAAGTTTAAAGTAGAACCTCATCTATGTAAGACTTTATTACTCTATATGTTCATGGTTTCCATACCTTTCCATTTATTGGTAAACTTTATAATTGAGTTGTGACCATATAATACATTTTACAGTCGGAAGATGACACCGACTACCTTTCTGTTATGAAACCCAAAAAAGTCTGGAGGGTTACAAGTGCTCTTTTATAAAAGACTCAGATAATCAGGAAAAGAAATGCTACTTTCGGAGTCCGGGTCATCCGGGGCCATATCTTTGTGTATTTTATCTCAGTGTAATCTCAGTTTTACAAAACCTATAATTGGAGGACCAGAGCTGGTAACTTGACTGCAGATCAGTGCACTAAATCACTTTCAGGGTTCACTTGACAAACAAGTGTATCCTCAGATGGGTAGACAGTTTGACTTCGGTTCAGGAATGAGCTGGAGTTAACAATCTTAAGTGGATTGCTTTTGGACTAAGTCGAACCGTCCTCTGCTGCATTTGGAGTCGTT